TTAATGAATAGAGAATATATATATATAATAAATAGAATATAATATTCTTAATAGTATTTCTATTTAATAAATAAATAGCATTTCAATTTTATACGACAAAGTGCATTTTATACGAAATTGAGACTTGCGACTCGTAGACCAGTTACATAGTTTTTTAAATCTAATCTTTGATAGTATAAAAATGACCTTGGGATATGATACAACGATTCTCTCTCTCTCTCTCTCTCTCTCTCTTTAGCGATGCTCCAGAGTCACCACTCGAGTGCAAAGAGTTAATAGACTGCGGATTTGTACGCGTTTACGGCGAACGCGAGTAGACGAAGCACGAAACGCTGAGACTGTTCGAAAAATTCGATAATTTCATCGCATTATTTCTAGCTCGCATTAATTATTCGAGAAGCGAACGAATGTTCGAGCAGTTCCCGTTTCTTGCGATCGATGCGCAAAATTATTTCGCACAGAGATCCGCGGCCAATTGTAACTCCGGCGCACGATTTTCTTCGCGAAGATTTCTCTGCGAAATGTCAGATCAAGATCGTCACGCTTATGCGATGTTAACAACGAACGCTTTAAACGCTAAAACTACCAAACCGCTCGAAACGACTGATTCCCGATTTTTTCTTCGAAAATTCTCGACACCGAAAATTGTTTCGTCAGAAAACGAACTTCCTCGTTCAAGCATATATTACAATAACAATCGTGGGAAGATTAAATAAATCCAATCACGTCACTGTTATTGCTAGATTTACGGAACCCGTCGAAATGATGAATCACTAATTTTTTAATCTACGATCATTCATATCTTAAATATACATTTATGAGTTAAACATTGATTGATCGTGAAAAATCAGAATCATTGTTTTATCGTTACTTTTATAAACTAATATAAAACAGCTGTGTTTTTTGTGCTCCGTAAATCTAGTTTTATAAAAATAACATACTACATTAGTCGCGTTTAGGGCTCGGTATTTCTAGCGTTAAACAGCGACTCGATTCTCAGGATTTCCGAAACATTTTGGAAACATTTTGGAAACATTTAGTCCAGAGAATCGGAGATCGCGCGATTCACTTTTCTTCGCGGTTGCAACGATCGGATCTTTTCACGGGATTTTCTGCGCCAGGTATCCCGTGAAGACGCGATGAGCCACGACCTGACGACCACCTTGAGGAGCGAGCTGGCGGCCCTGGAGTACAAACGCGACCGTCTCACGTCCGAGGTAAGCCGGCCGCATGTTCCTCTCAGCCACGGATATCAAGCTTTACGAATTCATTCAGCTCCAGGAGATGAAGAGCCTGGTGAGATCGCGGGATCAACGGATCGCTGAGATGCAGCTGGAAGCGGAGCAGCTCCGCGAGCAGGCTGCCAGGCAGAACGCCGTCGTCTCGAGCCTGAAGAAGCGTATACAGGTAGCTGCCCGTCTCTTCGGAATCCTCGTATCTAATCAGCTGATCGTGGCACGATAAACGATCGATTTTCGGCGACTTCGAACGAACGTTGCATTGGCGATAGGGAGGGTTGCATTGGATTACGCAAAGCCATCGGTCAAGATGGCTTTTCCGGTCGATGGGCCTGATCGAATCTTCCGATCTGTAATCATGACTTTGCCGATTACTTTTTTCCTCGAGCACGTAAAATCGTTTCCTCCGTCGGTGAACTTTCATAGATCAAGAACCTGTTGCACAAACAGTGCTCGGTGAAAAGTGGTGAACGGACCGCGCGGATTTTGTGCATTTGCAGCAAAAATGGTCGAGGTGAAAGTACCCATGNTTAATGAATAGAGAATATATATATATAATAAATAGAATATAATATTCTTAATAGTATTTCTATTTAATAAATAAATAGCATTTCAATTTTATACGACAAAGTGCATTTTATACGAAATTGAGACTTGCGACTCGTAGACCAGTTACATAGTTTTTTAAATCTAATCTTTGATAGTATAAAAATGACCTTGGGATATGATACAACGATTCTCTCTCTCTCTCTCTCTCTCTCTCTTTAGCGATGCTCCAGAGTCACCACTCGAGTGCAAAGAGTTAATAGACTGCGGATTTGTACGCGTTTACGGCGAACGCGAGTAGACGAAGCACGAAACGCTGAGACTGTTCGAAAAATTCGATAATTTCATCGCATTATTTCTAGCTCGCATTAATTATTCGAGAAGCGAACGAATGTTCGAGCAGTTCCCGTTTCTTGCGATCGATGCGCAAAATTATTTCGCACAGAGATCCGCGGCCAATTGTAACTCCGGCGCACGATTTTCTTCGCGAAGATTTCTCTGCGAAATGTCAGATCAAGATCGTCACGCTTATGCGATGTTAACAACGAACGCTTTAAACGCTAAAACTACCAAACCGCTCGAAACGACTGATTCCCGATTTTTTCTTCGAAAATTCTCGACACCGAAAATTGTTTCGTCAGAAAACGAACTTCCTCGTTCAAGCATATATTACAATAACAATCGTGGGAAGATTAAATAAATCCAATCACGTCACTGTTATTGCTAGATTTACGGAACCCGTCGAAATGATGAATCACTAATTTTTTAATCTACGATCATTCATATCTTAAATATACATTTATGAGTTAAACATTGATTGATCGTGAAAAATCAGAATCATTGTTTTATCGTTACTTTTATAAACTAATATAAAACAGCTGTGTTTTTTGTGCTCCGTAAATCTAGTTTTATAAAAATAACATACTACATTAGTCGCGTTTAGGGCTCGGTATTTCTAGCGTTAAACAGCGACTCGATTCTCAGGATTTCCGAAACATTTTGGAAACATTTTGGAAACATTTAGTCCAGAGAATCGGAGATCGCGCGATTCACTTTTCTTCGCGGTTGCAACGATCGGATCTTTTCACGGGATTTTCTGCGCCAGGTATCCCGTGAAGACGCGATGAGCCACGACCTGACGACCACCTTGAGGAGCGAGCTGGCGGCCCTGGAGTACAAACGCGACCGTCTCACGTCCGAGGTAAGCCGGCCGCATGTTCCTCTCAGCCACGGATATCAAGCTTTACGAATTCATTCAGCTCCAGGAGATGAAGAGCCTGGTGAGATCGCGGGATCAACGGATCGCTGAGATGCAGCTGGAAGCGGAGCAGCTCCGCGAGCAGGCTGCCAGGCAGAACGCCGTCGTCTCGAGCCTGAAGAAGCGTATACAGGTAGCTGCCCGTCTCTTCGGAATCCTCGTATCTAATCAGCTGATCGTGGCACGATAAACGATCGATTTTCGGCGACTTCGAACGAACGTTGCATTGGCGATAGGGAGGGTTGCATTGGATTACGCAAAGCCATCGGTCAAGATGGCTTTTCCGGTCGATGGGCCTGATCGAATCTTCCGATCTGTAATCATGACTTTGCCGATTACTTTTTTCCTCGAGCACGTAAAATCGTTTCCTCCGTCGGTGAACTTTCATAGATCAAGAACCTGTTGCACAAACAGTGCTCGGTGAAAAGTGGTGAACGGACCGCGCGGATTTTGTGCATTTGCAGCAAAAATGGTCGAGGTGAAAGTACCCATGCTCTTCGTCTCTCATAACTGCGTATAAAACCGTCGACAAATTTTCAGTTCTTATATGTCGCAGTTAACAATTATACCGCGGATTTTGTTACGCATTTATGCCAATAGCGGGAGAATGAAACGCGAAACGCGACGAGATTATCAGAAAGATTTAACAGTCTCGATTTCTTGCATCCGCGCGTTATTTTGCGGTCTGATGATAATGAACGAAGCGCGAGATCGCGCTGGAAATGATCATTTTCTAAAAAGGAATAGATATAAAACAGTGTCAAGATTGAAAGATGTGTATCGATTAGGATGTCTCGAAATTACTGTACCGATGTCATTGGCGCGAAGATCCACGATCTAGGGACGAACTTTCACCTGCGCATTGAGAACGAAAGCGGCTGTCGAAACGAAGCCAAGGGGGCAAGAAAGAGCAATTCTCTAGCCTCAAGATAGCATATTTATTTTTCAAATAACAAACTCCGGAGTCTTCGACAGAGTTATCATAAGAGAAGATCGTGTTCGCTCGAAGTTGTCAGAGAAATCGGACATTCTCAATTTATTATTTTATTATTTACTAACATTAAATCCTATTATTTATCTACATTATTTTACTATTTATCACTATTTATTATTTTACTAACGGCGTTTCGGTGTCCAGGAGCTGGAGGAACGCGAGCGGAACCTGTACGCGGCCCAAGGTCGCGGCGAGATCACGATACAAGGTCTGCAACGGGACCTGAAGTACCGCGAAGAGAAGATCCGCGATTACGAGAAGAAGGTGCGCCAGCTGGATCAGAGCATCTCCGAAGAGATCCAGCAGAAGGAACGCGCCCGGTTGAGCCTCCAGGTTCGGTCGTTCATTTTCTCTGCGTCCGCGGTTCCGCGTCTTCGTCCTTTCAATCTGGTATTTCGAAGGACTTCGGCCGTCAGCTGGCGCACGCTTTGAACGTCGAATACTGCGAGACGGTGCACCCTAGCCCGGAGATCGTGATCCACAAAGCGGAGGAGCTGGTCCAAGAGGCGAATCGTCTACGGGCGAAGACCGCCAACTCGGAGGCGCAATTGTCCACCGTTCAGGCGGACTTCAGGAACTGCAGGGACGCTTTGGACAGAACAGTAGCCGACAAGGAACAGCTACAGCGACAGGTGTCCTCGTACCTGATCGATCTGGACAGGTTGAAACAGGTGAGGCTGTGTTTTGCGTCTCGTTGAACCAAGTGGTTCTCCATTTAATTTGATTCAATTTTTAACCCTTTCTCATGGGCACAATATGAATTCTCAAGAAAATTGGGACATTCGATTACCATAATTTTATCGTATAGTAATACAGTCAATTCTCCCTAATTCGAGTTCAGATTGTCCATAAAGATGGACAATTTGGGAGGAGGAGATACGATAAAAAATTAGGGAGAAAAATTACGGTGAAATTATTGTATGTACAGCTGTTATTCGCCTTTCCTCAATATTAGGGATGTTCCCTGTGGAAGGGTTAATTCTCAGTGCCTATGAAAAGGTTAATTCATTTATTCCGCGTAAACGGGCCAGATGCACTTTCAATTTCTCTAAAAAAATTCGATGATAACAACAACAGTACTAATAATGATAGAAATGAAGATAAAAGCAATATGATCACGGCATACAAATCAAACGCAAACGTCCTAGTTTCTGACAGCATTTTTACATTTATTAAATTTATTAAACTAGATTAAAAATTTGTTAAAACATTTATATCGATGAATACGTCAACGTCGTTAGTATAGAATCGAGAATGCTATTCGAACGACGAATACGAACGGATTGAATGGATTACAATATTAATTTTTCTAATGGATTTCAATTGTTCCGCAGGACAAAGAATGCCTGGAGATGCAGCACAGAGTGGCGGAGAGGGAGCTGAACGATCTCAGGGACAAGCTGGTGAACGCCAACAGAAACATCACGAATGCCACGGGAAACATATCGAGCCAGGAGGCGGTGATTTGCCAATTGAGAGGTGGCGAAACGTTCCGACAGCATCGTCGTCGTCGTCGTCGTAGGCCGTCCAAGAAAATGATAGTCGATCAACGCTAGTAGATCGCTTTAAGAACGCGCGTCCGGCCAAAAGAAAAAAAAAAGTGATCGCGCGCTATAAAGGACGCGCGAGCGAGCTACGATCGTAAAACAATCGTCGAATCGATAGAAAGCTACGGGATGAATATTTAGAGAGTGTAAATTCGATCGCCTACTCGCCGGCCGAGGTGCTTGACAGTATTTTCTCTTTGCAGACGAGCTGAAGCACCGCGAGGAGAAGACGCAGCGTGCTCAACACGAGACGAGGCACATCCTCGAGTCCCTGGCGATCCTGATCAGCGGGCCGAACCGATTCGTCGAGTCGCACGAGAACGCGATCAAGGACCGGCTTCGCGAGATCCTAGCCGAGAACAAGGACCAGGCTCTTGTATTATCCGATTATCCGTAACGTTGTTACGCCTACCCGGCGCGTCTGAAACAGGTTTTCGTCGATTCTGAGAACCGTCGTTTCTCCTCCTAGAATATTCAAAACCTACGGGAGAAAGTGAACGCGGCGTCGGAATCGACGAATCGGCAGAGCGAGCTGATCGAGACCACCGTCGCGAAGATACGGAACCTTGAAGAGGAACGATCCTGCCTCGAGAGCAAGGTTCGCAAACTGGAGGCCGAGCTGACGAGCTGCGAGCTGTCCAAGGAGGCTCTTGCCAGGGACAAGCAGATGGTACGGACTAGAAAAACAATTGTCATCGGCGATTAGTAGACCAGGAGGACACGAAAGTCCTCGATCTTTCCGTAGAAATCGTTTGACAGACACCAACGTGTATTCTGTTAGCTGTACCAGATCTCTCATTGTTAGGCCTGTTTGCTACCGATCATACGCCGTAAATCAGTTACCGTTATTTATCAGTAGATTAGGAAGACGCGAATAGCTTAGATAGTTAAGAAATAACTCGATTTAATTTGCTGTAGCAGTTCTGTTCGGTAGCAATCAGCCATTGTAAATTAGCTACCACCATTAGCTAATCATAAGCGGATCAATGATCGTACTCGATGATCTCCATGTTGGTTCCGTTTGGTACTAGTTAAACAATTAGCAAATTAGCTACCAGTGGTTATTATTAGACCAGACAGACGCAATCGTTGGAGATCTTCGCGCGAAGACCATTAGATAATCCGATCTCTTCTGTTGTCCGATTCCCATGTCCAATCGACCGTCGTAAATTAGCTACCATTGGCAGACTCTTGAGAGAAAAATCGCGGAGATCATCGCGCATCACGTTCTCTTGCACGTAATCGATTATCGTAATTCGATAATCGTTCTCTTGCGCGTAATCGATAATCCTCGGTATCGCTTCGTTTCGCAGTTCGTGACCTTCCTGGACCGACTGAGCAAAGCGATGCAGATGGACGAGATCTCCGAGGAGATGGGCCTGGACCTGCAGACGGAGTCGTTGCTGGTGCGAGCCGAGCAGCTGGCCAGGCTGGAGACGGACAAGCTGGTGGACAAGGTGCCAAACACGATAGCCATGCTCGTTCCTTGTCTAGCACGTCGACGCCCGCTAACGTCTCGTTTCTTCTGTGTTCCTCTGTCGCGAACCCTGCGCTTCCCACCCCCGCGCAGTACTTGTACCGCGACTACATCACCCTGCCGAGGATTCGGCGCGAGCGGTCCTTCCACGAGCTTTGCTCCGCGAAAGAAGTAAGCCCCCTGGCCCCGTAACGTCTCACCCCTCCACAAAACTAGCGCTTTCGGAACTTGTCTAGCAGCACCGTAACTCGCACGAGAACCTTAGCACCAACGCCGGCCGATGATGATTAGCGTCTGGTAGGCCAACCCTTCGAGCTTGTCGAACACGTTCTGATCCGTTCAAGTCGTCGCTTGATGCTCGAATCGTTTAGCGTATTCGGATCGAGCGGCTTCGAATGGGGGACACCACTCTGGCGGTTTAAGAAAATCGATTCTCTTTCTTCTTTGTTCTCAGAAGTTCAAAGCGTGTTGAACAGGGGTGGCCAAAGCGTCGACCGCGGAACTACTCTTAGTCGCTCGTCTTATCCATGTTTATTTTTAATTTAGCTTCGATTTACCTTCTTGGCATAACCGAAATTTATACGGCAATGTTTCACGAGAAGGGGTTTCGAAAACGACGAATAACTTCGCCATTCTGTGCGATCCTTCCTTTCAAAAAATTGAGAAACGAAGCTGGAAAACTTCCATGTTCTCTTAGAAAGGCCGGATCTTTGTATTTGATAATTATCTACAAAATAATTCTGAAGATTCAGTTATTTCTTGACGCCTCAGGGTGGTGTCCTTCCTTAAGCACCAAGCGTCAGCCTCCTCGTTCGCGTTTCTGTTTCGTCCCTTTAGACGTCGGTGGTCTATCAGCTGCAAAGACGAGTGAGAACTCTGAGGGAGCAACTGCAGCGAAGGGACCTGCATCTGGACCTTCTACGGAGGAAGCTGTCGCTGCAGGAGGACAGCGTCCGGATCAAGTCGCTGTTGCAGACCGAGCGAGACGAGGCTAATCTCAGGTGATATCCCGGCTTCGCTGTTTCTAAATTCGAGACACTCCGGAGGAAAAAACTCCTGGGAGTGAGTCGGAGTAGCTCTCTGTGTATTCTGATCGATGGTTTCGTGCTTTCAAGGGCGAAGAAGTTGGTGAAGCAGCTGGAACGTCTCCAGGCACAGTACACCGAGGAGAAGGCCAGGAATCGGGAGCTCGGTTCTCAATTAACTGAGGCGGCTGATTACAAGGCGATTAAATTTTTCCCGAGTTTCCTTCAACTAGTGGTCAAAAGTGGACAATTTGGGAAGAGGAGATACGATTATTATTCTATATATATTTTATTATTATTTTATATTATATATATTATATTATTATTATATAAAATAGCCTTGCGGCTCATTTTTATAGTTGTCGATTGTCAAAAATTATAAAAACGAGCCACAAGGCTCAAATAATCGTATCTCTTCCCAAATTGTCAATTCTTATGCATAATCTCAGCATCAATCAGAGAGAATTTACTGTATTGGGTTTTATCCGTCGATAATTCAAGAGACCGTGTGGTTATCACATGTTATCGCTTGACTGTGGATTTTATTTATTTAGGATAAAAAAATGAGCAGACAAGACCCAAGACACTGACATTATATATATCGACCGCAAGAATTTCGTAATTCGTTTATATGATTTATAAATTATTGAAATTACTCGAAATCGAAATAAATGATCATTCTGTTTCTTGCGACGGGTGCACAAAGATCCGTAGTCTAATCATCCCTATTTTATTATTAAATGCTAATTTTACAAGCACTAGAATTCACGCTAAATCTACCAAGTGAACAATTTTTCCTGGTTCGTCGAGATTGTAAGACTTCTTCGCAGGAGACGATTGCATAAACTTCTCAATTGAAGTATACATTACAATGAAAATAGGTAAAGTGTCTAAAGTGATTCAGTCTTGTCATTATAACAGAACAACACTCGTCCGGATGCTTTTAGTACTCGGTAGATATAGCGTTGAAAGAACGTTTCGCGGTAAAGAAAAGTTTCCATTGTCAACTAAAAGATTAGTCGTCGCGAGAATAGAACAAGAAGGCTGTTAAATCCAATCTCGTCATTGTTACAATATAAATTAGTCACGTTTTCTTTTACTTGAAAACCTTTGGACGGCATAACCGATTACCGTTGACAATTCAACAAAAGATTGCTACTCCAGTTATCTCACATAGTTTACAATAATAGCAATAAATATTAAAACAACGAAATAATATGAAATAAAATATGATATAGTATAAAATATAGATATTGAAATAACGACCGTATTGTGCTGTGCGCAGATAGCGGCTCTGGAGCGCAGCAGAAAGATAGAGGAGCTCCAGAAACGGCTGGTCGAAAGTGAGATGCTGAGGACACGTTGCACGCGGAAGATGACGATGCTGAAGGAGCAGATCAGGAGCACCACGGAGACCGTCGAGCAGGAGAGGTCCATAAACGATCATTCGATGCAGCTGCTCAGGGACGAGATCGCCCAGGTCAAGCAGAACCTCGCCGATGTCACCAAAAGGGAGTCTCAAGTATGCAGAACGTTCGTCGTCCTTTATACCCCCGACTTTGGTCAACGATCGTCGACTTCCTGTTTCAGTTGCAAAGCTTCCGAGTCTCTGTGGTGAAGCTGCTGTCGGAACCGATTTGCACACCTGACTACGAGATCGTTTCAAGGCTGCAGAAGATGGCTGCAGCGCATCGGGACTTCACGATGCTGTCCCGCAGATACGACGAGCCATTGGACAACACGCCCTCCAGGTGCACCAGGTAATGCTGGATTTGTTAACAAAATTGTGTATCGAGTTCTCAAGCTGTATTTGTTCTACCGATTTTAACCGGTTCTTTATTGCGCCATGTTCAATCATTTTTTTGTTAAATTATTTGTTACCATTTCTTTGTTACATCGTTTCTAACCATTTCTTTATTATACCGCTTTTTTACAATTTCTTTTTATTACGCTATTTTTTTATCATTTCTTTATTATAGCGTTTCTAACCATTTTTTACTACACCGTTTTTTACCATTTTTCTATTATAGCGTTTTTTATCATTTTTCTATTACACCGTTTTTTACCATTTTTCTATTAATACCGTTTCTATTTCTGTTTCTTTGTTACACCGTTTTCTCAGAAATTTATGGCCGTGCGATTATTTTTTCGCGAGATTATGGCAGCTTCGCTTTGTTTTCACTCGGACGTGTTTACCGTCGATGCGGTTTTTTCGAAGTTTGATAACGCCGGTTTGATAACGGTCCCCGTTTGCAGCGTGCATCCGGTGCATCCTCACGGATCGCCGGGATCGAGGTGCACCCGGTACGAGGACAGCGGATTCGCGGATCCGCCGGATCTACACGACATCGAGGACGAATACACGAAGCGACCGGTTCGGAGTAGCCTTCTTCCGTGACGCCGGCCGCGATTCAACTTGTGAACGCGAGATCTTTCGATGCGCCGTCGCGTTTATACGTCGAGTAAACGTCGTCGGTTTTCCAACCCGGACCAGACGATCCAGCCGGACGATTTTCTTAGATACATCTTTCGTGCCTAAAAAAAGTTGCCGAGGTGAAACAATGTTTGTCAACGACACGATCTTCTTCGTGAAATCCTTTTAACTTTGTTCAGCTTGGTTTTCGAGAGCCGATTTTATCTCAAAAATTATTTTCGAAGTATTAGACTGTGGATCTTTATGCATTAACCAGTTTGCTGTTGCAATTTCTCTTTGACAAGTGTGCAAGTTACTGTAATTATGCTGTATATGTTTGATTTTCTTTATATTTGGTTTAAATAGAACGTTTTTATAGAATATAATAAAGAATATCAAAAAGCATATAACTTTCTTAACTAGTTAAACGTTTGCGACGAGTATACTCGTCATGAAGAAAATTCTATTCTATTTAAGAACAGTTTAACTGGTTGATCAGTAGCATTTATTCTCAAATCAGTAGCATGTCGATTTATTAAGAACAACAAATGTTCTGCTCAGTTTTCATGAAATTAGACATGCAAATATATGCATAAAGATTTACAGTTTGTTGTAAAGAAAAAGTTTCTAGGATTTTTGAGCCATTAAGTCCCGGTTTCATTGTTTATGAAGATATTTTTCAACCTAACAAAAAAAAAAATCTACGCTGTACAATGTGACTTTAAACAATGCCACGAAAGCATATAAACATTGATATTTAACCCCTTGCACTGTAACAACGAGTCAGTATTTCTTCTTCTGTTATCAAAATCTAGGAACGAAGATAAACGAAAAGACACGCGGCAAACAGAAATTGTCTCGATCTCTTCGTTAATTACGAAGAGGCGTTGATCAGGATTCGACTAAAATATCAGTCGAACAACGATTCGAATAAATTCTGCGTATAAAATTTTCATCGAATAATACATCGAACGAATTCATCGAATAAAATTTTCTTTCAATAATATATCGAACAAACCCATCGAATAACATTTTCTTCGAACAATATATGGAATAACTTTATCGAATACAATTTTCTTTGAGTATGATATCGAACAAATTGATCGAATAAAATTTTCTTTGAACATATTACATCGAATAACACATCGAATAAGCTCTTCGTATGAAATTTTCATCGAACAATACATATCGAATAAATTGTTCGAACAAAATATATCAAATAAATTCTCCGAATAAAATTCGTTTCGAACGATACATCGAATAAGCTCGTCGTACAACATTTAATCGGACTAACATTTCGAATAAAATTTGACCGGTTATTCGAATAAAATACGCTCGACTCGGTCGACACCCTAATTTCCAGTAGCTGCGGCACCGACGACAGTGAAACCAGTATGACGGAGCTTTCTCGTCGGATGCTCGTTCGAGCGACCGGGAGACAGTGAAAAACGATGGACACGTGATCGCAGTCGGGCGACACGCGCCGATCGATGGATCGCCGTCCATCGATTACGGCTGTCCTCGATTCCCGGAGAAGCTTTGCCGGGAACGGAGTTCCGGACGGTGCGGCGTTCCATGTGCTGGTTTTCCGCGGATGATCGGTCTAGAAAACTCGCCGACATTCTGCCGGGATGATGGCGGCATGGTTCTTACATCATAAGCGTCGCTTCTCCACGGTTGGAGAACGTAGGCGTTAGGTTCGGCGCGGAGTGGAGCAACCGCATTCCAGAATAGAGACGGGGCAGCCTGAACTTCGGGCCCTGAAGACGCCGACGGGGTCGCAGATTCTCGCCGGAATTACCGAGACTCGCAGCGTCGAAAGTTCTTTCGGCCGTGCCGAGATTAGGCGAACACGTTCGCGGACGTTTCTCGAAGCTTTTTCGAGCGATTCGAGAGGATCGAACCGCGAGGGTCCTTCCCCGTTAACTATTATCATATCGCGATCGCCCGCGATAAGATCGATGTGTGGCGGCTACGACCTTCAACAGTAATCGCTGATTCAGCACGACAAGCTCGTATCGATTAGGATTATCTGTGATTTTTCGACGGCGAACCAACAGCGCCGGTGAATCGCGATAATGTCGTTTCACGCGGAGCGTGGTTCTACCGAATACACAATAGTTCGCATCAATTTATCCGCGTCCGAAAATCGTTAGGGCGCGTCGACGCGTTCTCCACTGGAACACGTTTCTCCAAATTACGGTAATGTCTCCCTTACTGACGCTCGGGTGTTATGTGGAGAAATGGACAGTTTTGGGAAAGGGAGATACGATTATTCGAACCTTGCGACTCGTTTTCATANGCAGTTTATAAAGTATGGTAACATTGGTCGCAAATATGTCAACCCGATCATTTTATTATTTATGAATGTATATGTTCCGTAAAATGTGTCACATCGAACTAAATGTAGACGAGTACAGTAATGTCTCCCATACTGACGTTCAAGTTGTGTACAGAAATGGACAATTTGGGAAGAGGAGTTACGATTATTCGAACCTTGCGACTCGTTTTCATAGTTGTTGACAATCGATAAACATAAGAAAAAAACGAGCAACAAGGCTCGAACAATCGTATCTTCTTTTTCAACATTGTCCATTTTTGTGGACAACCTGAGCGTCAGTAAGGGAGACATTACTGTACAGTAATGGACAATTTGGGAAGAGGAGATACGATTGTCCGAGCGCTGCACCTAGTTTTTATAATTGTTGACAATCGGTAACTATAAAAATGAGTCGCGAGGCTTGAATAATCGTATCTCCTGTTTTACGAATTGTCCAATTTTGTGGACAATTTCGACGACGACAAAATCGAATCATTTCGCACGCGCGTATGATTAATCGAGATCCACGAAACGGATCGTTGAAATGTTATTCCCTAATTTTCTCGTCGCTCCGAACGATTGGCGAATTTCTGCAAAAATTTTCTTCAATTCTCTTCGCTCATTCAGCTCCACAAAAATTCACGCCGTTCGGTCCAATTTAGAAAGTCTCAGCTACCAATAAGAATTAGCCGTGAATTAATCGGCGATAAAATTAGTTGAAAAGAATAAGTTATCAAGCTTTGTCCACACCGGTTTACGCTGGTATTTATCGAGAAATGTTTGCCTGTTTTTTTTTGCAAGCTGTCCACTCGGAGCGGCGAAAGAAAAAAAAGAAGAATAGAACAAGTGACCGGAAAGATAAGAGCACGTGTGAAAAACAGAACGATACGGATCGTCCGTTGCTCGGAGTCCACGAATAAACTGATATCGAAAGTTTGTGAGCGTGTGCGAACTTTGGTATGGGTACGTTGATTGCGCGAGAGAAACAACCTCCTCGTGTATCGTTTAGACACGCGTGCCACTTCTGCTAATCGGATAGGTAGCGGTGCTTGGTCGCCGGTTTGCTCGCCGCGCGAATGGATTATCTTGCTGTTCCGTGTGTACGTTAGCGGGTCTTTTGTTCAGCTGACGGACAGGACTCGCGAACGTTGCGATCGCACGCTGTCGTCGTCGGAACGGTAAATAACGATCGCCGGTTTCGGACGACGTGCGTGGCGACGAGACTCTGCGCGTTCGGATTTGCCGTTTTTGTTCCGGCCGGCTCTGCTTCCGTGCTAATTTTTATTCCGTCTTTGTAGACGCGTTTCACTTCGAATGAATCACAATGATTGAATTTTCACCGGCTTTTCCATACTTTACGCGAGCATCGAGCGACGACGAACATATTACTCGTCGAACGCAATCGGTTAAGAATTCGATTGTTTCGCGTAGAATTGTCTCACTGGTTAAAAAATCTGTCGTTAGAACATTTTGCATCTTGTCAATTTCGATGAAAGATCTTTAGAAGGCTTCTAGGACGTTGTTTACTCTCTGTTAGAACTTGATATCTCACTTTTAAATGTGTATTGAATTAATTCTTAATTTCACTCTGTCGAGATGTAAGATGCGAGTCATTTTGACCCTGTGGGGGGGAGGGGGTCAATAAGAAAAACGGAGAGGTTAAATACACGACATCATGAATGCGTTGAAATAATATTTATTTAATATTAATAATAATAACAATAATATAATAATATAGTAATATAGTAATATAATAATATAATAATATAACAATATAATAATATAATAATATAACAATATAACAATATAATAATATAATAATATAGTAATATAATAATATAATAATATAGTAATATAGTAATATAATAATATAGTAATATAGTAATATAGTAATATAGTAATATAGTAATATAATAATATAGTAATATAACAATATAACAATATAATAATATAGTAATATAGTAATATAATAATATAATAATATACTAATATAATAATATAGTAATATAGTAATATAGTAATATAGTAATATAATAATATAATAATATAACAATATAATAATAATGATAATTAATAACATAGTGGTACCATTTCACCAAAATAGCAATACTAAAAAATACTAAAATACTAAATAAAATTATTTGCAAAAGTATTGGAAATTGTTAACGAAATATATCCCGATCCGTATGAAATAATGTTTCTCATCAATTAATATCATTATCGGGTATAATTAATCGAGTGTCAACGTAATTCGGGTAACTCGAGTTGCCCGATGACGCGTCCGGTTTCGTTTTATAACCTTGATAAGCGTCGCTCGTTGAAATTTCAGCGATAAGGAGTCGCGTAGCTCGGGCAGCATCTCGCGATCCGGCACGGTCCTAGCGAAAGTGGCTGGCTGCAAGGTGGAACGAGGATGCGGCAAGATCATGGCTCTGCTGTTTTAATAGCAGATTGGATCTCGTTGGCCCTGAACTTGGCCGTCGCGTCGCGGCCGCGCAGCGAGACGAAGCGAGGCGACCGTATCGGCCTGCTCCCTCGAGTAATATCTACACTTGCACACGGTTGCTGTGCCAAGTTCAGCTTTTCCCCCGATCAGTTTACCCTCCGCTGCCGCGGATTAGTCACTGGCCCAGTTCTTTGCCGCATTTAGGACAGCTTTCGTCCGCCGGATGCCGCATCGGGGTTGCCGCGTCGGCGTTCTTTCTGTTACGCGCTCGAAAGAGTTTCGATGGACGCCGATTGCAACCGATTACGACGAAATTTTCTGCACGCGTGCAAGTTGCCGCGATCTAAGATACGCACTTTTCATATTTTCGTTAACGATGTAAAAGGCGGGAGAATATTTTTTCTTAATTTCTTTCGCGTTGCATCGATTGCAGTTTTTTAGACCGACGTTTAAGCTGTGGTCTAATGGACCGGTCCTTCTATTATCTTAAAAAATAGTTAAGTTATTTAGGCTAATTTTAATGCTAGATTTACGGAGCTCTGGAAGCAGGTGTTTTATACAGTACAATATAATAATTGAATAAATAACTCATAAATGAGCCTCTCGGGCGACCCGTCGCTCGAAATTATGAAAAATAAGTTAATCGTCGAAATAGCGTCAAGTATAGTGGTTTCATTTGTCATTTAAAATTTGCGTGTATTTGTGTATTAACCGTTTCGCGTCAACGTCGTGCCACGTCGTTTTTTTTCTGTCCGACTGTGTCTGCTGCTACCGAAGTACGGAAGATGTTTTTCGTAGAGCCGAAATGCTTGGCGATCACTCTTTCAGCAGAAAGCGAAATTCGTTTTTCGTGTGAAAGGCTCGAGTCTAATGCAGTTTCACTTTCTGCGCGGAGAACTTGAGATTTCGCGTGTTTTGATCCGGTGAGACACCGCTCGTTCGCGGAGTGCCAAGGGGCCATTTCGAGGCCGCGATTCCGACCCAGAAACACGCGAGGCCACGCGGACCGGAAGGAAGGCAGACCCAAAACAAATCTCGAGGCGAGGCTTTCTCCCGTGCCGGTGCTTTCACCTGATTCAAGGGATACCGTTCCACGAATCCCGTTTTACGGGTCGCACGAGCTGCTGTAGGCCTAATCGTCACCGATCTACAAATAAAAGAGCAGCGAGCTCGAATCTCGGAACTCGGCCAAGTCTCGAAGTTCAAGTCTACCGGACAATGATCAATCAATTCTCCTTTAATGTTGCTGTTGCTTGGAACGACCAAAAAAGAGGAAAAGAAAAAAAGTTAACTCACGTTTTTTAACTTCTTTAAAAAAATTGTTGATTCGAATCGGCCAACTTTGACCGACGATAACTCCGCGAAAAATCGTCGCAGCACGATGACATTTCTTTTAAATCGAAGCTTGAAACCTGTACTTTGGGGTAAATTTTCTGGATTTTATGTTCGACGCATCCTCGCCATTGTAACCCTTTGAAAGTGAGGCTACGTTTGTGGTCTTGTCTCGTATCGAGAACTGCCAAGTTTGACGAAACGCGCGGACTTGGTAAAATTTTGTTCGCGGATGCCGTTCACAGTCGATTGAAGATCGATCCTTCCCCTTTAATTTAAAAAAAAAAGAAACCCGGCTGCGATTTTTTTTCGCGAAATTACAGCACTTGCATTTTGGTCATGTGCACGTCCGATAACACCGACGTCGGTGGTGGTGCACGACCAAAATGCAGGGGTCACTTCAAAGTGTCGCATCTTTGCGAAAAAAAATCGCAGTCTGGTTTAATTTTTTTAAAATTAAACCGGAAGAATCGAACTTCATTCGGCTGGAAACGGCGTCCGCGAGAAAAATTTTACAAAGTCCGCGCATCTCGTCAAACTTGACAGTTTTCAATGTGACAAACATGGCCTCACTTTTAAAGGGTTGCAATGGTTACCTCGCATTTAAAGGATTCGAGTGATAAGGGTGCGTCAAGCTTAAGATCGTGAAATACTGTCTTAAAGTAGAGGTTTCGAGCTTTAATTTAAAAAACCAATAGTCATCCTACGATGATTTGACGCGAAGTTATGGTCGGTCAAAGTTGGTCAATTTTTATGGAAAAATTTCAGAATTGTTCTATGCTACAACTGTTTTTTCGAGCAGTATAACAAGAAACGTTTATGGAAACAATGCGTTCCGTAGATATTTGTTAGTTCCCTTCGAATAATGTTACCGCACTTTAAAACTACCGCACTGTCGGAACAGTTTTGCGGGCTGCGAAAGAAATCGTGGCGCAAATTACTGTAGAGCGATATCGTTTCTAATTCGTACACTCCCCGCGAGCTCCTCGGCTGCTGATTGGCACGGGTCTGCTGAACGAAGAATTAATCATCAAATCCAGCGAGGAGTGTACTATCGTTTCGGCTCGATATCGTCCGAAAGCCCGCGAGGAGCCACGGCGCCGAAATGTAACTTCAACAATAACGGAAACGCGTCGCGATGTAACGAGATCGCCGGTGACCAACTGTCCGCTTTATCGCGGACATTATCTGCGGGCATCGATAGGTCTCGCCGTGACATCGCTCCAGGAAATTGCGCAGTTCTTATTCACTATTAAAAAATGATCCGGCGCGCTGGTTGCGACACCCGATTCACCTGTTATCCGGAATTGATCGCGCAAGTTCCGTGAACGTCCCGGTAATTTTCCCGTTGTAAACCGCCTATTATCTCGCTGGATATCTCGAAACAACGAGAGGTTTGCTTTCTCGTAAGCCTCCTTTTATCGTTCCACGAATCGTCGCCGCGAACTGTCTAATCGAACTGTCGATATTATTGTCGGCTGCGCGGGGATTTATTCCACAGGCGATTTCCGGCAGTTGTTTTTTATATGAACGATATCGCCGCTACTTTTAGCGCCGAGCCTGATCGTCGTCCCTGAGATCTTGGATGCCAAGGTCAACGTGTCATGGTCGCCACGTGCTCGCGAGACACCCGAAAGCGGTAACAAGTCTCGTTCCGCGAATGTTCATCGAACAAAAGGGAGAACCGCACAGAACGGATCGTTGAACGGTCGTGTCACAATGCGGCATAATTTTTTCGTCGATTATTAATACGCGATCACGACGAAACGGGTGAAGTGAACCGGGTCGCAGATACCAATCGACGTTTTTATCATATCTACATTAATTTTGACTCGATAAACGACGTTTGATACGTTCATTTCTGTTCTTCATTTTTAAGACACGTTTCATCAATTTCGATCATTCGATTCGTAACACACGCGCGTATTTCATGATCGTGTTGCCGTTTAACAATCTTGCCGACGAAACGATTTTTAATTAGTTGTCGATACAAAGTCTCCTGTGAATCAGGCATTCGAACAAACATCAATATTTACTGGTTCTACGCTGCGATTACGTTTTTCTTTATAAATATCGTCAAACAAATGTTTTTCATTACTGCATTTATTTGTCGATTAGATGGTTAAGAGAAAACAGTGTCTCCGATTTTCCAGCGATCGTCGGAAATACGAGGTCCGATCGTGAAACGCGTGAATAAAATAGGGCATAAATTGAGAGATTTCAATGAGAAAATATTCGTCGCCGCATTCGGGCGCGCATTCTGATCCATGCGGATGCCGTTCGCAGTCGAATGAAGTCCGATCCTTCCTCTTTAATTCGAAGAAAAAATGAAACCCGGATGCTATTTTTTTCGCGAAGTTACAGCACTTGCGTTTTGGTCATGTGCACGTCCGATAACACCGACGTCGGTGGTGGTGCACGACCAAAATGCAAAGGTCACTTCAAAGTGCTGTATCTTTGCGAAAAAAAAATCGCAGCCCGGTTTAATTTTTTTGAGATTAAACCGGAAGAATCGAGCATCATTCGGCTGGTAACGGCATCGGCAAATTGTGAGATTTCAATGAGAAAATATTCGTCGCCGCATTGGGGCGCGCATTCTGGTCCATGCCGCGACGATCAGCTGTCTATTACAGGCGAGAACGCGGGGGATAAGACGATCTTTCTCCCCCGGGCGACGATTTCGAAAACAGATACAGCAAAATAAGGATCAATAAGGGATTTCGCTCGCAAGGAGATAGCATATCGCCGCAGACTTATTTGCACGTTTATGCGTTCCGATAATACGCGTCTGGATCCGTTCGCGATCCTCGAAACGGCCTATGGTAGCAGTCGGAAACGCGAGTTGAAAAGAAGTCGATTTTCATCCGAAACGTTTCCAATCGGTCGACAACAATGGAACACCACCGTTCAATTTGTCTCAATTTTTTCTTTAATGTGTTCTATTCGACCAATCGATTGTTTTCCTCACAAACGCGCCAAATTCGCGACCTGGTCAGGATCGTTGATCATTCAATCGGTGGATCGCGGATCTCGCGCATTTCCGACCAAAAAAGGTGCGTAAATTGAATCGTAAAATATTATAAAAATATTGTAAACAATTATAAAAAGACGCGAGAAGCTTCGAACGACGTTGTTTCAACGGCAATTTAACAGAATCGTCGTCGATTTATTTTTCTTTCTTTCTTTTGTTTCTTGCAATCGACGAGATTTTTATTCCGCATACAAAGATCCGCGGCCAATCGATCAGATTGCATTTCGCTGGCCAGCGTGTCGCTCTTTGCTGCCAATGATTTGTTCCCGTAGCAATGTACCCGTCGACGAAACGATCGACCGCCGAACGCTATTAATTCGCCGAACGACCGCTATTGGCGAAACGAATGCCGGTGCATCGATTATTATCGGCGTGAAACGGTGTACGCGGTGCCGTTTCGCGATTTTCAATCGGGCAAAATTCACGGGTGGCAGAAAATCGACGGCGATTCGACGGCGTTCGAGCGTTCGGCGTCGCGTCGCGTCGCGTCGCCCGCGGAAACTCGGAAATCCGCGTGAAATCTCGCAAAGCCGAGTCGAAGGTGGCACCGCCGGTTTTTCCCCTGGAATTTCTGCGAATCAACGCACCGTTTTCGAAACTCCGACGCGTGTACGCGCCGAGATCTTCGAGCTGTCAGCGAAGAATACGATGTTTAATCCGACGATAACGCGTGTACCGATTTTATCTTTGCCGCGAGCGCGATTACGGGGAAACGAGCGGTGTTTATTGGCACGACGGATAAAGGAAGATCGGTGCACCGTTTTCTCGGTGTTCGGATCCCTCGACGGATCGTGTTCGCGAATAGGATCGCGAACGTGGCCCGCGATGTGCGCGTTCGTGTTCCTACGGGCCACCGAAACGGCTCGGCTCGCGATAGCCATCGGCGAGCGGTGACGCGCCAACGTCGAGATTAATTAACGTCGTGTAACTTGGAAAAATTCGATAACTTTTATTGTGCGTATTGATCGATAGCTGGATAGAATTTTTTTTTCGATTAGAAGAAAGATGACGACAGAGAGCGATAAAGGGGGACGGCAGGTCTCCGGTATCAGGGTTCTTTTTTTGTCTCGCTAATCGCGTCTCTCCGAGGCAATGGTATTGATTGGTGCTCTCTATTGAGATAACTTTATCGTGATAAGGCAAGGGAAGAATATTACTATTTCAGGAAGCTCATCGCGACATTTGCAGTCCAGTGGTACAAGTAACAACATCATGGCCAACATGATGAAATCGTCTTTGACGGTTCTTCTTCTCGTCGGGCTAGTCGCTCTTCCCACAGGTAACGAACCAACTCGTTTTCGGCTATTAATTAATAACGGAACGGAACGGTCCGGTCGAGAAAACCTGCGAATTTCTCATCGTCGTGCGTCGCCAGTGCTCGTGTATCTATCTCGGGGAAACAATTCGACACCATAGATCGTGCACTACCCTAACGCGACGGTGGTGTCAGTTATTTCGTAATTTCGGAGAACTTTCGTAAATTTTGTAAAATCAGTCACGGTTCACGAGTATGGTTCCAAGTATGGTTTTTAAACGTCCCGGTCCGTTTCGTAAACGCGCGAGAGTGGTTTTTAAATATTCCAGCCTGGTTTTTGAGACACTTGAATCTAATTTTTTAAATATTCATATCGAATCATATTTAGTTGTGGGAATAACTTTAATCGCTTTTACTATTTCAACTTTCAATTAGAACTTTTGTTTAATCGAAGAAGATAGAAAATATGTTCACACTTTGTGAGAGAACGTTTGCGTTAATCGTTCTGACACGATTCAACGCGGTGAAAACAATAACGACTGGAAAAGATAACATTGAAAATCACACGCCTTCGCGATTAAATCATTGTCGGGTGGTTAATTACAAAATCTATTTGCTAGATTGATTTCTGTATTCAACCTATCTGTTGAAATTCAACAATTTGAATCTTCTAGTTTCTAAACATCCGAGTCTGGTTATTTAAACATCCGAGTTTGGTTATTTAAACATCCGAGTTTGGTTCTTTAAACATCCGAGTTTGGCTCTTTAAGCATCCGAGTTTGGTTATTTAAACATCCGAGTTTGGTTTTTTAAACATCCGAGTTTGGTTCTTTAAACATCCGAGTTTGGCTCTTTAAGCATCCGAGTTTGGTTATTTAAACATCCGAGTTTGGTTATTTAAACATCCGAGTTTGGTTCTTTAAACATCCGAGTTTGGCTCTTTAAACATCCGAGTTTGGTTCTTTAAACATCCAAGTTTGGTTCTTTAAACATCCAAGTTTGGCTCTTTAAACATCCGAGTTTGGTTATTTAAACATCCGAGTTTGGTTCTTTAAACATCCAAGTTTGGCTCTTTAAGCATCCGAGTTTGGTTCATTAAACATCCAAGTTTGGCTCTTTAAACATCCGAGTTTGGTTATTTAAACATCCGAGTTTGGTTCTTTAAACATCCGAGTCTGGTTATTTAAACATCCGAGATTGGTTCTTTAAACATCCGAGTTTGGCTCTTTAAGCATCCGAGTTTGGTTATTTAAACATCCGAGTTTGGTTCTTTAAACATCCGAGTTTGGTTATTTAAACATCCGAGATTGGTTCTTTAAACATCCGAGTTTGGCTCTTTAAGCATCCGAGTTTGGTTATTTAAACATTCGAGTTTGGTTCTTTAAACATCCGAGTTTGGTTTTTTAAACATCCGAGGTTGGTTCTTTAAACATCCGAGTTTGGCTCTTTAAGCATCCGAGTTTGGTTATTTAAACATCCGAGTTTCGTTATTTAAACATCTGAGTTTGGTTCTTTAATCAAGCATCCGAGTTTGTTCTTTTTTTTAAACATCTCGCGTTTTTTTACGATCTATAAAACCTCCGACGCAAGTACAGTAAATTCTCCCTAATTGACGCACAGATTGTGCAGAAAAATGGACGATTTGGGAAGAGGAGATACGATTGTTCGGGTCTCGCGGCTCGTTTTTATGATTGTCGACGTTCTGTAACTATAAAATCGTACCTCCTCTTTCCAAATTGTCCATTTTTCTGCACAATCTGAGCGTCGATCAGGATGAATTTACCGTATATCTTTCTTCTCAGCCTATCGGCCGATAGACATCGGGACAAATTTATCGAGCCCGCAAACAAAGCATTCTTTTTTATTAGACTAAAGGATTCGGGAGTGAACACCGGAAAGTAGCTTCGAGATCGTATCGTCTACGATTACAGAAATTCGACTCGGCTAATCGCTAGGTGCCAGCAGCACGCGCTGTTTATCGTACAGTTCGATAAACGTCGTGCGAACATTTTCAAATGGTTCGCGAGCTTGTGCGAACGTAGCAATTGGGACCGCGAATTTTTCCGCGTTCATGGTGTGCGCAAAAGTTTCTCGAGTGCGATTAATACGTGCACCTTAACGAGAACTAATTGCATTATCATTATACGTCGATCAGCGTAAGGAATCTTCTAGTTGACGAAAGGAAAGTCCTCTGCTTCGTTAGATCTTTTCTGTTTTTTTTTTTTTTTTTTTTTTTTTATAAAAAAATTTCTAAAATTTTAAAATT